ATATTAATAATGTTGATATTGATAAAATTATAAAAGACTTATGAAGAATTCATAAAACGAAATTTATCATTATCACAGTATTTTTATTTTTCTCCGGAAGAATTATCCTCCAACCTATTCAGTGATTTGAATTGACCGCGATCTCATTTGGTATGGACAGCCCTGATATAGACAGTTACTATTCTTATTCTTAGGAAAATAATAACATGAACACTATATTAGCCATTACTACAGAATATTCAATCAGACCCAGAGTTCTTATTATAAAATTGAAAACGCGAGGCTAAAATATGGCAACGTTTAATAATCTTGTGGACTTACATAGCAGAAAAAATTAATACAATTACCCATGATAAATCATCTAGACCAGGATACGTAATGTTACCTAAATTTCATTAAGAAAATCTAATTTCAACTCAAATAAAACCGACTCTGTACTGATCTTCTCAAAATTCAAGCAATGCAATAAAGGTCGACAACTTGAATCGCCATTTTCTGCGAAAATTTCTTTATAAAAAAATTGTCAAGTTTGCTTGATTTTACTTAAATACCGACTCAAAAATACATAAAAGATAAAGAGTAATATTATGAACAACTAATATGAAGTTCCGTTCTCTTCTTCCGTCAAACAAAAACATAGAAACTAGAATGTTTAAAAATTATAATAAATTTTCAAGTCTTATTTGAACCAAAATCTTTCATGTAGTTTCGTGGTCGGAGTTGTTGACTGGCTTCAATCTCTCCTAGGACTTTAAAGGCGCCTTCATCTATTTCTATAGATAATCAGGTAATAATCTTGGCATTGTTCTATTATTAATTCTACTTAGCTCCAGACACGGGGGTATTGATTAACTCTAGTCTAGTCCCTAGTCATACTAAATTTGGTGACGATGGCAATTAAATTATGCAATTATTAAAGAGATTTTTCGAACAGTAGTGAATCACAATAACAAAAATTCATTTTATATTATTTTAATTAATTGAATTTTAATTATCAGTGGTCTTGGTAATAATTCTTTTATTTAATTATTCGTAAATAATTTTTTGAGACTGCAAGTACCAGGGATTGAACTCGTGCCCTGCCAAATTTTAAGCTCAGAGCCAGCGTTGATTAGTCAACTGGAATGGCCGTACTTGACGTAAATGTTCGCATATTTTTCTGGACTTTTGTTACTTTGCTTTGAAAGTCTTTATTAACAAATTTACCTGCTGTATTTATATTAGAACAAAATCATAAACCAGCTGTAGAATAATTCTGCAAACTCGAATTTTTTTATCAGATTAGTTGGCCCACAATTAAACGGTTTGAAGATTGTATAAAAACCGAAAACATAGTTATTATTAATACGAAATGCGTAGCGAGACTAGGGAGATGAATTTCTTTAAACCAAGAAAATGATACTAAGCCGATAGCTCTTGTCCACGTATGTAGTAAGACATTGGTCAATAATTGGACATTCCAGTCTGAGTTCGGAAAAAGTTTCGATTTTTGTTATATTTTGTTGAGAAGGTGTTAAAATAAGTCCACCTACCTTAAAACAGTTGAAGGAAATAGAGTAAACCTTGTTATTTGTAGCATAATTTTTATTAAATTTTTTTAAAACTATTCACATTCAATAAAATTTTCGTATACATCACACTATTTAATATTTACATTTAAAATTTATTTGTCTTTATCGATTTTCACTTCCAATCAAAATTATTTAAAATTAATTTTAAATATTTTAATAACTTAATTTTTTATAAAATATACAATATTGCACTATATTAATTATCTAATAATATTTTTGATATATCAGTTAAAATTAGAGTCCTTCGCAAAGGACAGTGCCTAAAATATGTGCAGACTTCCCTGTAAGTCACAGGACCAAAAAGTTTCAATTGGTTAATGACTTTTCAAGGGAATATCTGCTGTTCTAACATTTAAACAACAATGAAATAACAAGAAATTGAGTTAAAAGTTATGACTTAGTTTTAGTATTGTACAGCTAAATTTAATTAATTTTTTACAGTGTACTTTTTGCATTAAAGTACGATTAAATTATACTTATTGACGGAGGGAACAGAGGGGCTATTAAATATTTAAATTCGAACTGTCCTTTAAAAGTTCTTAATATATACAATTATAATTCGGTTTTCTTAGTGTTTGAATGTAGCTACAATTAATTTACTATTTAATCTCTATTTATTGATTATTTTAGTATCTTTAGAAATCGTTGTTACTTTTCAATGAATCAGTGCTCGGCGTTTCCAAAGAGTACGGTTCTGCTCTTCTGCTGAAGACTGCTTTAATGTTTTTCATGCTGGTTTTTCTTGACAATACTTTTTGATAAAAATCTATTAGAAAACCTAAAAAAAAAATTAATTTACATATTAAATTATATTTTTCATTTAATATTTTCAATTTTAATATACATAAATTTTCTTACACAAAATTAAGCGATCTACTAAATTAGAATATGTGAATGTTGCTATTTTCATTTAATTAATATATATTTCTCCCACTCTCCACAATATTTATACGTCTGATATCCCAATGCTAGGTACCTCGACTATGGCGTTATATGCTGACGATACGTTTATGTTATACTCGAATAAATGTGCTCTCAATATAACCAACGTACTTTAAGTACATATAAACCTCATCCTGGAGTATTTCCAAAAATGGAAAGTAAAAATCAATAATGAAAAAACTAAGACTCTGTTTATTACGCGTAAATGGAGACAGAAAACGTAGACAGTGAGAGTGGGAGGTATGGTAATATACTAAGAGGATAGCATTAAATATATAGGCATCACGGTGGACAAACGATTTACATGGCTTAAACATGTGTGCGGAAACTCTTTATCACTGTCAACATTCACAAATGAAAATATCATTACTAAGAACAGGAAACTGATATATAACCAAATAATTCGTCACTTCTATATAGATGTGTACCGTTTAGCATAGCTTCAAACACTACTATTCGCCAGCGAGAAATTGCACAAAGCCAGGCTCTGTAAAGACTTTTCACGGTACAATTGTACATTAGGACGAATCAAATCCTCAAAATTGATCCGATCAAAAATATATAAAGGACAAAGCCCTGAAATTATTTACGAAAACTGACAGACTTTACAACACTGCGTTATTGAATCTCACAATAGTTACAGCCTCCTCGGGGAGGTATGCAGATCTGAGGTTAATCATTGCTTAGTCTGATGAAGTGATAAACAATAATCTAGTCAGGGCGTAGAAAGGGGTCATGAAGAAACCTCGCAGTTAATAGAGAGTAAAAGTGCTCAAGTGCAATGAGCCTCAACATAAAAATATATTTTATTTATGATTTTTAAGATATTTTTCAATTAAGTTTTTGAAAATATAGATAAGTTTTAATGAAAATAATATGTAATTGAAATAGTAGAGTGTCATTATATCAGTAGGCAGTCATTATGTACTATATATACAAATTTTAACTCACTGACTATTTATTAAAAAATTAAAGCTCAGCAAGAAATTTGAAAATAATCAAATGCAGAACAAATTATTAACAGCTGCAAATCTTTTTTCTACATAAAGAGGAACCATAATCTGAGATTCCGGTTTGACCAATTTCGATGCTGATGTACAGTATATAATATGTAATATAAAATGCCAGATTTTTTAACAAATTATTTTTTTTTTTTGTGATGATATGTATATAAACTATCTATCATCAGAACAACAATTAACAATTGGAGTAAGGATGTCAAGTGCTGTCTTGACATTTATTATATATCAAATTTCGAATAAATATTTTTAATATTGACTAAAACTCATACCAAATATTGGGCTTATATTACAACCACAGAATGTGGCCGATTTGCTAAATGACTTCCATAACTGTGTCTGGCCAAATTTATTGCTGTGTATCTTTAACTTTAAAAGTAAGATACTTATTTAATAAAGAGATAAACTATAATTGAGATATCGTTTGAAGTATAAGTATAAACATATAAGTACACATTTACAAATATATTAAAACCTTTGTAGTTTTTATAATACGAAATATAGAAACAGTTTCATTACGTGCTTTATTACCTATTTTTTTAATATACGATTAGCTAAGTTGCTCAAAATTTGAATTTAATTTATTTTAAAACGCCTTAAATTTATTTATACTAAACCTTGTACAATTTAATGATTTTGTGGTTATTGAAACTCTTATTCCCTCTAAAATTTTATATAGTCTTTAAAGCAACTTCAATATTTAAATCCGACCTTGTGCAGACCTAATACCTTAATTAAAATTATAATGATGATTTCAATTGCTTTCAAATGCTTTCTGGTAAGAACGGATGTAAGAAGCCATCCGAAAGCATTGTCATTTCCAAGTTTGTGTATATATCTACAAGTGACTATTACTTACCAATTGAATTTGTTTTTCCTGCATATCACTTTATAAGAGGTGAATGCTGCGATGTTTCGCTGAAGTCAACTGTGTAGTACATATCGTTCTCCAGATTCATAGCCAAATGGCGTTGAAATGGTCGCTCATGCATTTGGCCCACCTGTTGTGCCGAATTAATTGATGTACTACCATTTGCGTTATTTGTATATTGATTTCGTTCCTGTCTGCGTAACATAAATGATGAGCGCAGTAGATTCCTGCTGCGAACACCCTTACCACTAAGCCAATGTCGTTTGGAGTCATTTTGGGACTTTGTGCGTCGACCAAAGCTAAAATTATTTAGAAATGATTTTTTGCGTGCTGTGAATCTACGATAAGTTTGATTCACTTTGCAATGACAAATGGTGAGCTGCGGGTACACAGAAATAAACAAACAAAATTGTCCTTATTAATCTTTTTCACGATATCTCTAACGAGAACTAAAAACTGATAACGCAAATACTAGCAGTAAAAAAAAATTTTATATTTCATTATAACAATTAAAACTATTAAAACTATAAAAAGACTATTTCAAATATAGACATCAAATATATATACACACTGTCTATCTAAAGCAAGCCGTCCTGCTTAACTATATATAAATCGTCTATGGATTTCAATACTTGCCACAATGCAAACACTTAAAATTGTTGTCGCAAAAGCTGCTGCTACCAAATAAATCATGTGTTGTAAATCTGCGGAGTCCTTGAGCCTCAGTGAATTTTGTTCGGCAATCTCGAAACTTTTGTCATTATAGTTGTTGATGTGTGTATCATCGACCATAAACTCATCGGTGCTGACGACGGTTTCAACTACGAATTCGTCTAACAGAATTAAGTAATGGAAAATGTCATAATTCAAATTTTTTTCAAATCGCTTTTCAGAGAGTTTGCTGTTTGCCTAATTTACCTTCACACTTGATGCCAGTGTAACCAGGACGACAAGCGCAATAAAAAGTTGCACCACTCAGCCAGCAAGTACCACCATGTGTGCACATATTTTCGCTGCATTGCTGTAGTGGAAGAACAGAATAGTAGATGACTTCTTATTTATCAAAACTTTTAAAATAATATGAAATTATTTTTTAACACAGATGTGTTCCCATGGTTTGTATATTTTATTAATAAAAAACTAAAAAGATAAAAATTTTTTCTTGAGTATTAAGTACCGTTCTTTGTGCTTCTTTGCAATCCAATTCCCCCTTCGGACACACACAACTATAATTCCCGCCATTATCCACACACAGTAATCCGGGTGCACATGGTGTGTCTGCACATAAGTCCACCTGTTTGATGTCGTTACCATAGCATAATCGATAATCGAAAAATTTGTAATGCTGATCATTTCACTTACCTTTACTTGACAACGGGTTCCTGTATACCCCTTAGCACAATTACACCCATAGCGGCCTATGTAATCTACGCATTCGGCTCCATTCTGGCAAGGATTTGATTCACATTCATTATATTCGTAACTACACAACTCGCCAGCAAAACCTTTACAGAAATTTACGAGTTTTTATAAAAAATATAAAGAAATACATAATTGAATTATTTTCATATAATATTTAAAAATTTTTTATTGAATTATACATGTTACATAGGCAGATGTTACCTGGTTGGCAGAAGCAACGGAAACCATGCTCATGATCCACACATATGCCATGCATGCACGGTGAAGACTCGCAAAAGTTCATGCTATGCTGACAGAAGAGTCCAGTGAAACCAGGTTTACAATCACAACTGCGTTGTGCATGCAGAGATATTGTTTAAGATATTATAATTATAATGGAAAAAATTTAATAATAGTTTAGTTATAACTTAAATTTAATAATTATATATTGATGATGATCGCATACCGAAAGTGTGTGGAATTGCCTAGACAAGTGCCACCATTCAAACATTCAGCTGGATTACATGGATCCGCTTCAAATTGGCAATTTTTGCCTATATATCCTTTAATTGTAAATAAAATAATATCGGATTCATTATTATTTGATTTTATATTTATTAATTATTTACGTTGTAGTCGAAATATACACAATAATATATTATAAAAATATATATATATATATAAAATAGAATATATGGATTATTTTTCATTATAATGCGAGTTATTAAATAAAATTAAATAATTAAAAAACCTTATATGTCAGTTTCTTTTTTATTATAAATAATAAATAATATTGACGTTCTGTTTTACTTAATAACTTTTATTTTAATTTTCAGTTTTAGTTTTCAAGACATACCATATGGACATAGACATTGATAGGCACCTCCTTCATGCCCTTGCGATATGTCTATACAAATGCCATTATTTATACAAGGATTTGGTGTGCAAGCATCAATTTCCTCACAATGCGGGCCCGTAAAACCAGTACAACATTGACACTCATACTCCTCCATAACTGCATTGGAATAACATATTCCTTTACCAGAACAATCAGCATCCTCCCCACAGTTATCAATTTTCGTGGTTACTTTCAAGCGCACACAATTCTTGCCCCAATTTTCCGAGACCACTACGGTGGTTAAAAAATTATAAATTATTATTTAATTACAATGATTAATTATTTCATCACATCCACATCACATTTTGTATTGATATGGGCAATATAATTATTATGCTTGATATAATTTTATTATAATTTTATATAATTTTATTTATAAATTAACCTTTTGTTTTAAAGTCAAAATAAATAAATAAAAAATAAAATAAATTTGGATACATATAGTTAGGTTTTAGTGACCGTACAGTTTTTCTACTTTGTCATAAACTCACCAATTAATAAATTAACCCCTTCCGTTAGATCTTTATCATATAGTGTGAGAAATTTTCTACCATCGACTACGAGAGGCGTTATATCCATAAGTATTCCTTCAGTCACATCACAGTGGTCGTGACCAGCACGCGTGACTTGATAAACTAAAATATTGTGAATACTGAAAAACAAAACAAATATCTTCAGTCCATATTTTGTCGGTTTAAACGCAGAAAAATGTCTAGGAATTAGTTAAGCACTGAGACACTAACTGACTAACTGACTAACTGAGAGAATACCTGAATAGCTACTCTGGCAAATACATTCCATATACATTATTTCAGTAGTAGGTAGAACTTGTAAAACGTGTGCATAGTTAGTTAGTTAGTTGTGGTGGAAGGAGGAGCTAGTACTCCTCAATTAGCTATGAAAGCCATTTTGAATGTACAAAACCTCGGAATAGTGGGTAGTGGGCCAGCCAGAGCCTTATTCGTTAAAAATTTAAAGCTCTGAAGTAGTAAGAAATTTGAAGTGAAAAAAGTAAAATACAAATACAAAGAAAAGCATTAAAAAATGTGAGTTTTGATAATAAAGTATAGGAAAGTAGTAATAAATGTAGCGCAAAGCATATAATCGCAGCATGTACCTACAGAATAAAGTATCTGCCACCATTGCTTGATACAAATACATGTACAAATACAAATACAACTACAAATAGAAATATTTTTAAAGCGCACATATAAATGTGTGTATGGCATAACAGAGTACTTAAGAGGATATTAAAATGCAATAAATGAAGTAAAATTGCTGTTATAAAAATATATTGCACACATTCAATCTATGCGTCTGTAGCAACAAAATAGGTGCTGCTGCTGCTGATGGTCCCATGTATAAAACAGCCCAGCAATATATGTAGGTCGTGATGTGTTAGAGCTCCAACTAGTCACTGTTGTTCTCGAATGCTGTTTTGTATACATACATATATATTGCAAATCGCTCGAGTTACAGCCAACAACGACAACGACAACAAACCATGTTAGCTACAACATTAAGGACACTCACTAACCGGCATAAATATTAAATTTTATTACATTTGCTGTGCAACATTCTATCTATCAATAACGAAATAACAAATTTTTTGATACAACAGCATCAGCAGAAAGATATATACTTACATGTATGTGTACTCGTAGCTCAGTTTGCTTGTCTTTTGAATTAAAGTCGTATCGTTTATTTCCACAATTATAATGTCACCAGATTGTATTTCTGCTTCGGCACTCCAGGACACGCCGGAACATTTGTGCTCGATTTCACAGCTTTCTGGAGACTGCAAAAGTGAAATACAAAAGAACAACAAATTAAACTTCGTAAAATGTTTATTTATACTCGTAAATTTGATATGCAACAATATTTGACGCACAAACTTGCTTATCAGATACTTCGGCCGACGGAAATTCAGAAATTGGTACGAGTTAAGTGCTCTGTAAATTTACGTTTGGGACAAGTTAAATAATTGTTGAAATTAAAACGATATGAATTTAAAACGAAACAAAACGACCGTATAATTTTAACATAATTGTTTAAAGGCTATAATTTAAAACAAATAAACTTCATTCTATTGTACTCAGCGAAGGCATCTCCTTCAGATTTCCTACAGATTTCTATAAATGCACTCACGGGAGTTGAAGGGACACACTTGAAAAGTCAATAGGAAAGCCGTTTCTGCTTAAACATAAAGCAAAAGAACACAACAAAAAAATATGTGTAAGTAATAAGTGTTTATATTTTTATAAGATACTTGTAACTAAAAAACTGAAACCAACTAAATTATTGATTTAAACTATTGATTATAAAAGTTTTAGCAACCTATATGGTCTTCAACTTCATTCTAACATATAAATTTCATACCTCACATATATGCTTAGTAAGTTTTCGAACTTCATCCGAAAAAGCAACAAAACTATGGATTTATGAATGTGGATAACTCCATTTTCATTTTTTAACTGCAAATATCTGCATTGTTCCCAATACCTTCAATAAACTCTTATAATTAGTTAAGCAATCTTTATTATAGTATTCAATATAATTTTCTACTCAAATAAGTTTGGAATAAGCTCCTTGCTTACGCCGACGACACTGACAACATTGGGCATAGCAAACGTGAAGTAACAGCTGCCTTTGCTGCTATCGAAAAGGAATCTGCAAGAATGGGCTTAACGGTGAATGAGGGCAAAACGAAGTATGCCGAGGTAGTGACGGGCGACTATACTTACGAACACCAATGATGTCAGCCTGGATTTCAGACGAAGAATCAGTATTGCTAATAAATGCTACTATGGGCTCAATAGGCAATTGAGATGCAGAGCTCTCTCTCTCTCTCTCTCTCTCTCTCTCTCTCGACAAACGAAAGTTACGCTCTATAGGTCATTCATCCTCCCTGTGCTTCTGTATGGCGCAACAACATGGACGAAATTTCACAGAACGATAAAGCAGCACTACGAGTGTGCGAGAGAAAAGTTCTTCGTAAGATAAACTACGAGTATTATCACGACATTGATATAGTTCAGCGAATTAACATCCAGCGGCTTCGTTAGCTTGGTCATGTCGTGAGAATGGATGAAAGGTGTTGCTCCAACGAAAAAGGTGTTTCAAGCAGTAGTTGGCGGAAGAAGAGGTACAAAGTCTCTCCGGTGGGGTGCTGAAGTTGAGGAAAGACTAGAGAAAGCGTGCACGCAGCGGAGACGGTGTGGGAGACATGCTGCGTAAGGCCGAAGCTCGGTAACGGGTTGTTAAGGCCAAAGTAATTGATTTGTAAAATCAAATCGAAATTGATTTGTTTGAAAATTTTCAATTATTTTTCTAAAACCTCCTTTTTTCTCAAACTGTCTTAATTTATTTTTTCTTTTATTTTTCATAAATTAAACATTTTCTGCACAATAATTGTACTTCCATCATATGTCTATTATTTGTTGCTAGATATCTATTGCCTATTTTGACAAAAATATTCTAATTTCCCGAAATGTTCGAGTAATAATGAAATGCTTTCTGATTCAAAATTCGTGATTAATCTTATAATAAGTCTTTTTCATATTCGTTTTAATTAATTAATAAACTTAATGTCATACTTAATAATTTATTAGGATTAAGGATTAAGGCTTAAGTACAGTTATCTGCGAAGTATGATGATTTTCTTAAGGTGAGCCAACTTAAAAGTTGAATATAGTCAAGAATTGTTATAAATGTGTATTGTGGACAACGGTGCAAAAATGAGTAATGCTTGAAAATATTTGATGCTCTTCAGCACTAAATGGGTTCGGTTCAGAGCTATACATTTTCATGCAATATAATTTGACAAATTTTCGGGTGATTTGAAACAAAACGGTTATGTCAACAACAGATGTTGCTCGAGCTTCAAAGCATGTATTGTTTGTATTTGCGTTGAGTATTCTATAAAAGTTTAAAATAATATTATTGATTAATATATTAATATATTTCATAAAAATGAAAACATTTACAATTTTTAAAATTATTCTTGCTGTAAATGTATGTATTAAATTCACGATATAAAAAGTTCTTTCAAAGCCGTATTTAAGGTTATATCCAATATAAAGCAATAATAAAGTTTCTATAAAAATTAAAGTCAGCTAAGTTCAGAATAACTTAAATTCTGTTAGTTATTCTTATATCACAAATAAGAAAAAATGTCTTATCAACCAATAATAATTAATAAATGAGAAAAGAATTTTTGCGATGAGAAAAATATTTTTGTAATTTAATCTCTACGAAATTTCTTGCTGCAAATGGCTTATTTACTTTTGCACGCTACCAGAAGTCCCGATAGCAATCCTGAATTGATAGAAGTCCCGAATTGTCAGAAATTCTAAATTATCTCTATTGCACAAATATGTTGTTATAAAATTAGATAATAAAATCACAGCTTCTACATAACATGAACATGTCTTAATAAGATAATATAAAACCTTTTATAATTATGTGCATCGTCTCAAAACTTTTTTAAGAATTATTCTTCCGCGTTTACTTAACTAACAGAAATAATTTTTTGCTCCAAAATAATAATTATTAACAAAAACATTGCAAGTCTTACTGCAGTTCTTTCTGATCATTGGTGTATAGGAGCCCACACATAGGAACTGCGCATTCCCGTAATCCTCACTACAGAAGTTGTGGAAACTCGCAGGAAAAAGAAACCATAATACATTTTCTCTGTGAATGCCCGGCTTCGGCGTCCAGAAGATATAGGTTCTTAGGAAGATACTTCTCTGATAGTTCATCAGATTGTTCATCGGTGAAGATGAAATTCGGCGGGATGAATTTAGTCTCTAGTCTTCCATACTAGGGTTTTTGCGAGGAATATGGTAGTAAAACGTCGAAAAATCACTTATTGAGGTGCATGGAAGTTATCTAAGTGCCTGCCACTACAACCTACCAAAAGATTAAGGGATGCGCTTTTTAACAATATTTTAAAACTAAACCAACAATTGATTTTCTAAGTTTTAAATATATTTAGAAAAGCTGAATTTAATATTTGAAATATCTCGAATATTGTTTGGTAATGTTTATTTCCAAGCAAATAATAAAATTATGTTTACCCAGCGCGTATTTATTATAAGTTCACTTCTACCTACACCAAACTTTCAATGTTGATTTCTTATTCATATTAACTATAGTATATTAGCCGCTCACTTAAAGTAATCGATTTGTAGGACAATAAAAACAATGGAAAACATTCACAAAGCTGAGAAGATTTACAACATAAATGCTTTGAGAAATTAGAAGATTTACTAGGTCATACATTTCTATTTTAAGTATATATGGATATGTCACTGATCATAGTCTACATTAAGACCGAAAAGTTTTCGGAAATTCTCATTTAAAATTCGCGCGCTGTATATTTTTCGATATTTTAAGTTTATGTAGTTTGGCAGCAATTAAGGACAATTACTATGCCAAAAATGAGCGCGATCTGTCAGACAGTTCGTTTACGGCAGCTGTTGAAACCAGTTCACCTCAGTAGTGCGTTGCGAAAAAAACAATGGAAAAAAATATTGGACAAAGAGTTTGCATCAAATTTTGTGTTTCGAACGAAATTTCGTGTGCAGAATCGTTGCGAATGCTACAAAAGGCTTATGGGGAATCAGTTTTATCGAAAACTCAAGTTTATGAGTGGTACAAAGCCTTTCAGGACGGTCGTACGACCGTCGAAGACATTTCGCAACGCACTACTGAGGGGAACTGGTTTCAACAGCTGCCGTAAACGAACTGTCTGACAGATCGCGCTCATTTTTGGCATAGTAATTAAGGACAGTGCTGCCAAACTACATAAACTTAAAATATCGAAAAATATACAGCGCGCGAATTTTAAATGAGAATTTCCGAAAACTTTTCAGTCTTAATGTATATGCACCTTTCTTTTTTCAGATCGTAATAAGTATTATTACGATTCATATTAATAAATACTACTTATTGTCATTCATACCTGATAGCTTGTACCTAATAAAAAAAATGGATTAAAAAAAAATCCATTTTCAGCTTCAGTATCCTATACCTTCCCAGTATGTCCTAATTTTCGGAATTGAGTGATCCAACTTCAGTTATTGTTCAACAGCAAGTGTTTAATAATAAAAGATCGGAGATTTATAAACGTTTTGACGGTTTAATGTCGTCTGGTCGCCTGCTTAGGAGCTAATAATTTGAAAATGGACCTTTCGCCGATATTATTTCTAATTAAAGAAAATTCCATTTTCTTGGAATAAATATGCCAACAGAATCTGTAGTTCGACATTTAAATGAAAACAGTTGTTCAACAAACAAACAAATAAACAAACAAGCAAACAAAGAAACAAACAGACAGACAAACTATTGTGAAAAGCAAAACAGCAGCATGAATAACAGTAACAACAACATTAGTGTAATGGTGAAAATATTTAAGGAAATTTTAGCAAAAGTACGTAAATTTGTGTTTTCTTGAGCATATAAACTTTCTTGCCAAAAAGGGAAACCAGCAAAATGGAAATAAAAAAGCACGAGTTTCCTTCCGGCGGAGTTTGTTTTCTATTAAGACGAAATTTGTATCCTTTTTTTGCGAATTGTTTACTTGGCAGCAGTAAAAGTTTTATTGTAATTTAGTGTGGAGAAGTTTATGTACAAAATCAAGAGGATAATCGAACATAAAAAGGTTGCCAGAATGTAAGCCCATAAAAACGTAGGTACACTTTCTCTGCATATCCTTTTCACTTTTCACTTTTCACCATTCTTGCATAGCTCCTCTGACCAAATTTACATTTTTTGCTTTCCACTTTTTCATTT